CATACTTAGGCAAGGCAATCAAAGACCCTTTGGACATAACCGTACCCTCATAATACATGAGTAGGGATGTTTGCCTCTTGCATTATGGCACTCATCAAATATGAGAAGCTTTATCATCTCAATTTTAAGAAAGCTGTGCCTTAAAGCAACAAGCAGAATTGCCGGTGTCATCACAAGCACCTAAGACATGAAACCACCCACACGCGTTAGTAGCAAATAACTGTTACGGAGTCTAACTTATACTTCCTTTGTTCCGATGCTGTTAAAGTATTCTGACCTCATATAGCTCCACTTGGCGATTCCATATGTTTGCATCCCAGAAATCAACGCCCATTTCTCCCCAATATTTTCCCACTTTCAAGTCTGTGTGCTTCTTTATAGCTTCACCTTGCTGGTAGTTTAATTAGAAATAACACGAAAATAAATATAACCATCCAAAATGGGGACATGTTTCAGAAGTTTAACAGAAAATTATGAATGAACCTGTGGAAATGAATTTTCATTTGATTCATATCATTATATCTAACCAAGACGTTGGCTTTTTCTATACATTGAAAAAACGAAAGAATATGGACATACATTATGCCAAATCAAGAGATTCAAAAACTTGTTAAAACTACTTATTATCACTACTAATAAGAGATTCAGCATTACCTGAGTAACCAAAACCACAGTAGGAACCAAGAAGATAGCAACGTAAGGAGAAGGCTTCCGAATGAGATGGCCAAAGCTACGCAAGAGCATAATGGCTATAAGTGTCTTTCCAGAACCAGTCTCCAAGAACACAATCGTGTTCTGCTTCATTGCTTTCTCCAATGCTTCCAACTGATAACTGACCCCCAAAGTCCAACACACCCAAACGCAAAGTAATTTTATCGTTATTTCCTCCATTGTCAAAGAAGCTAAAAGAGTCATTTTTTACAACCACTTTCTCTTCCGTTAAACCGACTAAATCAAAATGGCACATTATAAACCTCTCTTGCTTGTTTCTTTCTATGATGTTTTTGGGTATAAAATGCAGAATTGGAATTACTATACTGCTTTTGGTAGTGGTGAAATGGGTATTCAAGAAAACTAATTAAAATGAATGAAGTGGTTCTTGCAGATTGATACTTACGATCTAGCGAAAGGCAAAGCGCCTGGCATCAGTTCTTGGACTTGATCATCATGAGCAGGCTTAGACACTGGCTTCATTGAAAGATTCAACATTGTATGTTTTCCTTGCTTCCCTAATGTAATTAAGGTGAAGGCAAAGGTGGCAAAGCACAAACTGAGACTTTACTTGCTTGTTTGCAACAGCATATACTTTAGAACGGCTAATGTGAGAGCATATTCATAACTTGTTCTTGCAGAAACTAAACCCCTCAAAAAAGATTCTGCAGAAGATTACATTTAAAAGGGTTTTGCACTCAAAAATGTCTATAGGCTTAATGAACACATGGAACGTTGGGTTGGGTTATTATGTAAAAAAACAGAGTGCTCAGTAAATATGAGAATAACTTTTTTACAGTCATATAGACTGACAGTCTTTTTAACACTAAATGAACCAAACTGGAATAACGAGAAACTCCCCCGGCCGGTAGATGACGCAATCTTTGTTTAAACAAAGATGAACGAACGGACCTATTAGTCAGTCAGTCTCTGAAGAACAAAAGAGGTGTGAACCAGAACGAATCGGCGGGGTAAATTAGGATTTTACCAGGAAATATTACTGAGATGAAAGACTGGATAGATAGGTAAATTCGAATTGGTGTTTTTTCGTGAAAGACCGAACCAAATCCAACTGCGACGAATTTGATTGGTCTCGGGAAAATGGTTTGACTCGTCTTTTTAGAAAAAAAAATTGAGAAATACCGAGTATCAAACTAGATTTAAAATGTGTTCTATATGCATGAATCATAAATGGGAACTTAGATACTTTTATACTAAAATCAGGTTTATAATGTCATAACATAATGCGAATATATATTATAAAATAATACTCCCTCCGTCCGTCTAAGATGTTCTCATTTTGACTTTTGGTAGTTTTTAAGGAAAGTTGAAAAAAGGTGAAAGTTTACCATAATACCCTTAATGAAAAATGGGTGGAGTGTATTAAATGAGGTGGGTGAGGTGTAATAAATAAAGTAAGTGGGGGTAGTTGTGGTATTTTATTTGTTAAAAAATGAAATGAGAAGATCTATTGTGGACAAAGAAAAAGGGCTATTGGGAAGATCTATGATGGACAGAGGGAGTAACACACAATACCAATTTTTTCTATTTCGCGATTTCGACCATTCTATTTACGAAATAAAAATATAGAAGGTGTGTATTATTTTAGTATAAGTTTTAATTTTTGTCTTGTTTAGGTATAAAGTAGAATATGGAGTATTACCGACCAAACAATTCGACCAAGAAGTGAGAATAAAATTTCAAGAGTATCAATGTGAAGAAAGTGAGAGAGAGACGAGCACAAGTACACAATATTGCTTGATTGATTTTGTTTTAAAAAACAATAAACCAAAATAGCATTTGATTATTTACTAATAAAATAACAACGGAATAATTCTTGTATTGTGTCTCATTACAAGAAAAATGCTGAGCTTAAATAACATACTATCTGTCTTTGATATATTTGTCTAGTTTTGATTTTTACAGTTAATTATTTTTAACATTTAATAAATAATTAAATAAAATATATATGGAATGTTAATTAGATAAATAATATTTTTAAAAAAATTATTTAATAAAACAAATCTGATAAAATTATGTTTGTATCAACATTTTACGTAGTATAACGCTTTTATTTACTTTATGATCAACATTTGCTAATTTTGATTAAAAAAAATAAAACATAGACATATACTTAGGGGCATAAGTAGTATTAGATAATAAAACAAATATGGTAGAAATCCACACCTTCCATAACTCTAATTGCTACTAAAAATAAATTAATAATTAACAAAGGAAGGTAAATCATATTAGACTCCCCCTAAATGCGATAATTAATATCTTGTCATTTGCAGTTTTATGAGGACTCGCTGGATTTTTTTTTACTCTTCCAAATTTAGCAGTATAAAAATCTTATATATAAAAACATTTCACATCATTTATTTTTTAATTCTATTTTATTTATCAAATGCAACCTTTCAAAAAATAAGTCTAGCTAAAAAAAACAAGTTGGAATGTTGGGTGCCTTTTCGGGCAAAATTATTGGCGCCAGAAAATGATGAATTTATTATGAGTTGTGCGTTTTTACCGTTTTACCGAGGAGAGGATAATAACCATCCATCAATTTTACTGTGCCAATATGACAGAGCTTTTCTACTCCCCATGCTTTTAAAGTTTGATGTCAGAGGTCCATCTCACTTTTGCATGGACATATTCTCTTGAATTGGTATGGTTCTAAGCATATACGGACTTAAATCTAATTCGAATCTATGGACTATTTGAGTCTATGTTTATTTGATTTTCTATTCGCCATATTTCCTTTTTTAATAATTATGGGAGTTTGTGTCTATTTGTAAATTTTATTAATTATTTGATAAAATAAAATATTCTTGACACCTCTTATTTAAAAAAATGCATGTAATTTTTAAATATATAAATTTTATTTTTTATTTATATACTAATATTTAAATAAAATGAATTAAAACAGTTTGATATTTTGTCTCGCTTTTTGAAATTAGTTAACATTTAGAGACGAGAATATTATAAAAGCAAATTTAAAAACTCTACAGGTAACAAATTTTCAATGAAATTTTAGGTAAGATTTTTGATTGATATTCGATTATTTAACAAGTTCTAAAGAAATACTACCTCCGTTTTAAAACATTTTTCCCAGATACTATTCATACTGTCAAATTGTAAACATTTTATTCATCTATTTTCGTTAGTTATTTGATAAAATAATATAGTCTTATCACATCTTATTTTGTAGAATTTTTGATATAGTTTTAAAATATATAAATTTTATTTTTAAATTTTACACCTAGAATCATATAAATTGATTTGAAAATAAATTTGGTCAAACCTCGTAAACAGAAATGGAAAGAACACTTTAGGACGGAGGAAGACATGGCATACTCATTTCTTCCAGAATTAATCGTCTCAGTTTGACTTAACAAAATTCAAAAAAAAATCTTCAAAAGTAAAAAGTGAGTGGTTAAAATTTGACCAGAGAAAGGAGAAATATTATGGATCAAATATTTTTTTGTTGTGGACTTTATTAGGATAGTAAAGAAGTGAAACAATTATTTTTGTGACGGACTCAAAAAAAAGTGAGACGATTAATTCGGGACGGAGTAAGTACAAAAAAGTTATGCTTTCATGATTTTCAAGTCTTCATGAAATGTGGACATTCTCACATTTTTCATGGATGACATGGAAATCTTTTGTTATTTAAAGAGCAGAATTCATCCAAGGCATTTATATACTAAGGTCCATAATCCATAAAATGAGTGTAGACCTTATGACCAGAGAAGAATTTGCCAGTACCAAAATTACTACCTCCGTCCGCACAAAAAATTAGTTTTTTCATGTTGGGCTATCGATAACGATTAATTGTTTATTTTCATTGATAATTTCATAAAATAAAATATTTTTATTACCTCTTATTTATAAAACATTTGATGTACTTTTGAAATATATAATTTATATTTTTATTTTTATATCAATTTATAAATATAGCAATTGTAAAAGAAATACTTCCTCCGTCCTATATCTTTCTTCCCGTTGCGCAAAACTATTAGATGGAGGGCCAACTACAACTTCAAGAAATGGAAACATGCTTTGAGTCTTAAGAAATGGAAGCATTTCTTACACATGCTTGGGCAAACACACACGTAGTGTGTAACCTGCTAGTATTCTAAATATGCGTACTCCGTAGTCCGTATTAAATTGTGGCGACTGTCAATGAATGCAAAGGGGGGGGGGGGGGTAAGGGGCAGTAGGGCACAAAAGTTAGAACGCAAATAAGTGGTTACAAAGAAATGTTTCAATAGTAGATTTGCAGGGCGGGGTACAATTACAGAACTATTGCAACACCGGTCCAAAACCTCAACCAACTTGGAATGGTCTCTAATGACAACAAGATCATAATGAGCAATTCTACATTGATACCACACATGACACCAAGTTTGACATCACTGTATCTTACAGAATAGATAGTCGTCACTCATAGATCTACGTGTGTTTGTGATAGACTGATGATATCAAGCTTAGTGTCATGGGTGGTGTCACCGTAGCAAGACTCTAAGGATGTGCTAGGTTGTGGGGGGAATATTTTTTTCGAGAAGAAAAGAATCATAAATTTCTGGGTTGCTAAACTCTAAGCTACATATACTACAAATTACAGGTATATAAACTCGAAGTTCTCTATGCGTGGAACGTGTGTGTGTGGGTGTAAATATATAAAATCGATGAACCGTATATACATATCAAAGGGATTTGGAGGTGTTCCTGCTTTCCTTATTCACAACTTGTTGCTTACACATGCAGTCAGGCATGGGGTGAGTATAGAGTGAGGTGCTTGATTTTCTGACTTCACAACCCTTTACGTTACTGTGGTGAAGCATATCTTGCAACTGCCTTTTCAAGTCATTCCATCTGTTGGGCATCAATCAGTAAATGATGTTTTGTTATTTGTAGAAATCTCAATCTTATTCATCCTTCAAAACAAATCACCCAATGCCGGATTTCAAACTATTACAAAACAGACAAGCGATCTGTGAACTGATCCGAAACACTAAGAAATTGTTCTGAAAATCTGTTTAACTGATAGTCATTGTTTGAAATTTCCAAATTGGTTATTCGAACCGAAAAATTGAGGCAGTTCATGGATCCATTTTGGTTCGTAATCTGGAGAACTGGTTTACCAGCTGGTGAGTCGCGGGTAACCAAGATTCTGAATGAATAAAATTCAAATATATTTTTGTAAAGCTTTCCCTTTTGAAATAATTTAGTATTTTCTGTACATAAATATCATTGCTTTATACTCCCTCCCTCCGGAAATAAATTTCATGGTTTAAATTCACAAATAGTAAGATAAGTGTTGAAAAGTAAAAGGTGTGGGATTAAAATTTGGTTAGAATGAGAAAATTGGTGAGCTGCTTTTGCATCCCTTAATAGAAAGATAAGAGAAGTGTGAAACTTATTTTGGGACGGATCACGAATGAAAAAATGAACGAGTGAAGTTTATTTTGGAACAAATGAAGTAGTTTGTTTTGTTTAATCTTTTTTTAGATTGTAGTCGGCGACATAAATTTATGCATAAATTAGAGAAAAAGTTAAAAATGCATATTACGTAACCAGTTAACCAAAAATGTTGATCGACCCAAAAGCCGATTAACCAGTTTTCTTTGTCCGATTTCAGATCATCATTTCTTGGGAACCAAATTTTTGATTAACCAAATCCGGTTAACCAATATTTCCCTATCCAACTTTGGTTCACAATTTTGCCAAACTGAAATGAACTAAAGTTGGTTAACCAATTTTGATTACCCCTATGTATTATAGACAATCAATTAAACCTATAAAAATTGTGTGCCATCTTACCCCAATGTAGCTGGGATTAAAACGGTGATAATGAACTAAAGGCAACAATAAATAGCAGCATTAAAGATAGGGTATTTACGCATTACCTTATACTTGGGCGATCAAATAGAAGAACTAATTTCCGCTTATCAGGATTTATGGTCTTGGCATGGCCTCCATTCAGATAGCGTCTATGACCCACTAAGAAATGGGGGAAGTTGCCACCCTGAGTTGTGACAAACACTTCGCTGTAGAGGCAAACTGTATAGTCAAGGGCTGCCAATCGTGATAGATGCCCCTATAAATATACCACAAAACACATGCAGCTTAGAAATGAATGGTAAGAGATGAAATGTCAAAAGTTTTAGGTAATAGTATACTCGCCTCAAACGGAGCAAGTTCTTCTGGAGAAGCGAGTATTTCTTTTGATTCCAGGTGTGGGAACATTTGTTTGAGGGGAGCCATGAACTTCTCGGCCTTATAAATCTTTCCAGAAGCAACGTAAACTGACGTGCTGTTATCAAATCCCATACCTCTTAGCATTATGCCCACCTAGAGCAAGAACCCATTATGAGCACAATGAGTCCACAAACATTAACACTATGTTTGATTCAAGGTATTTGAAAGGAAAAAGAAAAGAAAATGAGATGGAAAACAGTTTTTCATGTTTGGTCAGAGAGGAAAAGAAAAGAAAACTGGAAAGGAAAACCATATTCCTCCTTGTTTGGTGAGGAAAATGAGAGAAAACAATTTTCGTTTCGTTTCCTTCCAAATTCCTTGAACCAAACATAGTGTAAAGCATTCTGACATGAATCCCCACATCTTGCTCAATTTAATGTCACCAACTAGCTAGCAAAATATGTAGCGTTAATATATATATATATATATATATATATATATATATATATATAGACATACACACACAGAGATATATATATATATATACATACATATATATATATATATATATATATATATATATGTATGTATGTATGTATGTATGTATATATATATGTATATATATGTATATATATATATGTATATATGTATATATATATATGTATATATATATACATATATATGTATATATATATATATGTATGTATATATATGTATGTATATATATATAGGGGCCGGTTCCTGTAAGAATGCACCTTGTGGAGAGAAATGAGAATAAAATCTAGCCGTTGGATCTGATGCATCGTGCGGCTTAGATTGCATTCTGCGCTGAGATTTTAAGATAGTGCATTTTCAAAGGATTTTGGTGCATTTCAACATGATGCATTTTCAAACCATTTTGGTGCACCTAATTTTGATGCAATCCTGACCCTTAGGCTCCGTTTGGTACATGGAATTCAAACTATGGAATTGGAATTGAGGACTTCAATTCCAATTCCGGTGTTTGGTAGCACAAAAATTATGTGAATTTGGAATTGATAGTGCAAAAAATGAATTGGAATTGACAGAATTCAATTATATGGAATTGAATTCCATGGAATTTCAATTCCAATTCAATTCTAATTCCGTCAATTCTGTATACCAAACGGACCCTTAGATCTCACAATCTAAAACACCAGATTCATTCTCATTTATCTCTTAAGATTGCATTCTCACCAGAACCAAAATCTATATATATACATACATACATACATACATACATACATATATATCGAGAATTGTAGCTGGAATGGGATATAACAAGTTTTATTGTGATTTGTGAATAATGAGAGCCAAGATGCAATGGCTGTAAAAGAAAGAGAAGCTGTGGATATTCGTCACATCTCTAGTACCTCAAGTGGAGTAAGAGGGCATTTCCCATCCATCCTTATTGCACCAGGCCTTATAATTCTGCCTCTTTTGCGGAACTTGCCTCTCCAACTTCTTTCGCGGGCAACATCCATCTCAAGTTTTTCTTTCTCGCCGCCGTCATATATACAGCAAGAAAATGCAACCATATCCTTTATTATGGAGAAGGAAAAGTTAACTTCTTTATGATAATGATGATAAAGGAATAGCAACAATAACAATGAATTGGATAAAAATTTATTTCATATTTAGTCAGACTGAACAAACCAAGCACCTCTTCAAATCGAAGATGCACTGAAACATATTTTCCTCCACTTGTCGAGCTATTTTTCACCATTCGGTCAACCATCTTTGCAGCAAGCGTGCGTATGGATTCAGAAAATCTCAGCGCTTCAAAGTTGCACAAACATCGAAGGCCTTGGATATTTGGGGGAACTGCATGGGCCAATCTATTGGAAAAAGGTGCAATGCGTACAGCCCTGCATCATTAATACAAAAAAGACAGCTGCACCATGAATAATTGCAGCACAACCATAACATGTGAAATACAAAATATTTATAAAAAAAACAGAAAAAGGTCAGACCCATTGCCATCAGGTCGTAACCAACCGAACAGCAAATAATCTGACTAAAATGGAGGCAAGAGACACGTACCCCAATTCCAAAAGCCTTGGTAGGACCTTTTGCCTGTAGTAGGTTGGGCTGGACCATGCCTTTACTCTCAAATTCACAATGTTGCTAATATTTTTGTCAAAGCGCAGAAGTACATCTTCTGGGAGTTGTTTTACCACCTTGACATGATTCCTTAGAGCATATATGAAAAAGTCCTCATCAAAGATATCACCAAACTTGCTGCAGAAGAGGTCCGGAAAAGAGTTTAAAGAATTGACCCACAAAGAAAAGTAGTCCTGAAAACAACACTTCAAAACTTCACTTGATAAATAAGTTAAACTCTGAAAATTTTTCATAAAATTCAAGCAACTAGCGTCTTTACTCCATGCATTACTAGAAACCAACATACATTACATGTTCAGAGATCATCATCTCTAAGACAAACTTTCCTCTATAAGAAGATAGTACCTGAAGCTTAAAAACACTACATTGGCTTACCCACTTCGAACCACTAGGCGCTAATAATCATCAATATGAAAAAATTCAAACAGTATGTTTCCGTCCTTCAATTTTCTTCACACTTTTCTTTTCGGGATGTACTAAAATTTCTTGTCTCCTTTTGAGAAAATATTTGTGCAGTTGACATTGTTTCAATCATTTCTAAATAAATCACAACTACTCAATTTCATTTTTTTTCTTAATAAGCGTGACAAGAAAAGGTGGGAAAACAACTTAAGATGGAGGGAATATTAATTAAACTCAAGAAGTCATGCAGAACAGTAAAAGCATGCAACGTCCTGCAAGGACCAAGGTACTTCAACCATACATGTGCAGAAGAAACAGAACCTGTCATGTGCATCAGAACATTTATTCTTCATAAAAGTATTCTTACATTTTAAAAATGGTTTGGAAGTAAAAATAAGGGCCTCAGTTATGGAAGGTACGCGACAGACTTCTGAAAGTCTGTTGACACTAAACAGTTATTGGTTGTGTGCATGAACAATTTCTTGCTGCAGGAGATGTGTTCTATAATTATATGGTTTCTGAAATTTAATTTACCAGCTTTCCCTTTGAATGGTTTCTAAGTGTTTTACTATGTTATTTGGTACGGCTTGTCCCGGAATGTTATCACACATGGAATCACAGACAAAAGCAACAGAGATGAGTCAAGAGGACCTCAATAACGGATTCACTAGTACAACAAAAACAATGACAACCCAGTATTATCCGAACTCTATTGGGGTCTGGGAGGTCAGGATTTACAGTCTTACACAGTTACACCTATAAAGACAGAGAGGCTGTTTCTGTTAGACCCTAGATGCATTGCTCCACTTAATGCCTAAAGCTTTATAGAAAATAAAAAGCAAGATAGGTTTAATGTTCAATGTTTAATTTAGTCCATCATGTGCCCGAAACTTAAAAATTTTCGATAATGGCTCTTATAGCTCCATTGACAAGGGGCGGAAACGGATTTACTGGTATAGAACAAATTTTTAACTCCACAGAGATGTAAAACATAACTTTCTGATGCCCCTTCTATAATGGAGGCCCTTAATTATATTCCAAAGCAATCTTAGGAAATGAGAATATGAGTTTTATGACTATATAGCTAATATTCTTCTGACACATGCTTGATTTCTTCTATTTATTCAAAAGTACATTGTTTCTAGCAGCACATGGTATGCATCATGCACAGTAAAAGAAGAAAAAGCAAGAGGAAGAGAAGGTATTAAGCGCCAAAACATAAAAATTATCTGGCTGCAGAATTTCATAATCTAAAGGAGTATTGGGAAAATTACAAGAAATTGTACTGTCACTTGGCTGCTTAGGTTTATTACATTACAACTTACAAGCTTACCTCGAATCTTGCCAAACACTATTTAAATGAAATATTGGGATAACAAGTGTAGCATTCAGCATACCAGCAACTGCAACTGCATCACATATCTGTGATAAGATAAAAGAGGTTCAGTTCTGTACTTTATATCCTTCAGAAAATCAGGGCAGAATTCTATCTTAGAAAAACCATAACCTCGTCAACAACAAAAAATAATACTCTCTCCGTCCCAATGTATTTGTCCACATTTTTTGGCACACAGACCAAGGAAAAGAAAATAAAGTTACAATTGTGCCCATACTATTTAACCAGAGAATTTAAGTACTCCCTCCGTCCCTCATAGATCTTCCCATTAACCCTTTTTATTTGTCCGCCATAGATCTTCTCATTACATATTTTAACACACAAAATACCTTAAACACCCCTCCTCCAATTCTTTCTTTTTTTCCCCAATTTCGTCCGCCACTTTCTTACTTCTTTTTTCTTTCTTCATTTCTTGCTCCCCAATTTCGTCCGCTCGTCTGATTTCTTCGTCTCTCTTCCCTTTCTTCTTTTTCTGTCTTTTCTTTGTTTTTCTTCTTTCTCGTTTCTTCTCTTTCTTCTTCTCCTCCGTATTCTTCTTCTTCTACGCTGTCTAGATCTGCGATGGTGATAGAAAGAGCAGTGGCGGCGATGGCGGGGCTGAGGACGGTGGTGGCCATGGGGGAATGAAGATGGAGGGCGACAATGGTGGGGATGATGGCGGCGGCGGCGACAGTAAGTAAGATCTATATTTCTTTTCTTGTTTTCTTCATCTTCTCTCTCTCCTTCCTTTTCATCCATCTATTTTCTAGATCTAGCCCACAATCATGACGATAATCACGACGATGGTGAGACCGCAAGTAGTGGTGGGGTTGACGGTGAAAGTGGGGTGGCAGTGGTGGTGGCACGGCGGTGGTGGGGAGGTTATGTGCGTTGGTAACAAAGAAAGGGTTAAGTGGTTAGAGGCAGAGCAAGGAGGGGCAAATTGGGAAAGTCACAAGTCTTTTTAACACTCCTAAAAATCCGTGAAAAATCGAATTGAGAACATCTAACATGGACAGAGGGAGTATTATTTTTCGGGGAAAAAGAGTATATACGGCCAACTTAAACTTACTCTAAAAGAAAAGTGGATAAATACACCGGGATAGCTTAAAAGGGAATACCGAACAAATACATTGGGGCGGAGGGACTAATAGTCAACTGCAAATGCAATCAATATAAAACTATTATGGTTTAACTATATATGCAAACTATAAATAGCACAATGGAGCACACAATAAAGAAATTGCATTCATCAACGATCTATATTGTACTGAGTCTGGACAGTAACAAGAAATGAAGTTTTTCCTACACTTTTGGATGCACCCTGCCTATTGTGGCCACAGACTGAATACTAAATAATTTGATGACAATCAAGATACAACAATAAACAAGAAGACAATGAACACAAAAGAAAATAAATTTGTAACAGAAAAATGAACTCCGTACTCCTCGGTGAGGACTTAAAAAGGACAAATATAGTACATTTGTTTCTAAAGAACGTACCGATAACCTTTGTTGGTTTAACCCACCATTTGCTTCAATTATAAGAAAACCATTTGACTTGTGTACTTCCGGCGACCCTTGAAGGAAAAAGTTCAATATATAAGTCAAATTATTTAATCAAATAATGATACACTCCTACAAATCTGACACATAAGACATGGGCTAAGAAATCTCTTGATGAAATTAAGATGAGAATCCAGTAAATACTGAAATGTGATACAAGAAGTAATATATACTCTCTAGTCTCTGCTGTCATTTTTAAGTTTTTATTTCCGTTACACTTATAATGTGTTCATTTCAAATAAGCCATTTTCTTTATTTTCAGCCACATTCATCTCTGCTATGGTCATCCAGATTTTGGCTATTTGCAGTGTAAACTTGCAGCAGCAAAGGTTTGATATTTAGAAAGAATTCTAGCAAATACAATCCTTGTCCTTTTACCCAAAACTATAAACAGAGTAACTGGATTTTCGATGTGTGTCAACATTTTACACATCATCTGCTATGGTTATGTCCAAAACCACTAAACACATAGTCTCAGCAGATGCAAATAAGAAATTGATGATTTAGGAAAAGAAGTACTCATTCTGTCCCTAAAAGGCATCATGTTAAACAAAGGTTCCTTTTAATCTTCGTAAAGTACAACTTTCAGAAATCGTCTAATGTAGCTTTTTAAAGTTGTTGATTTAACTAAATTCAACACATTCAACTATTTTGGGACACTTTTTATACTATAAAATAAAATTATTAAATATCATGAAAATTAGCTTTGTTCAATTCAAACTGGGCTCTTTTTAGGTGGGAAAAACTTGGAATATGACTTTTGTATGGGACAGAGAGAGTGACCTTAAGTGGCTCACAAGTTGCTAAAGAAAAAAAAAATTGAAAGGTGATTCAAATGTAATGGTCATAGACAGAATACTAACCAGCGTGTGAAATAGTGTTGTGAAGACAAGGCTTCCAATTTTGATGAAACGTTGGATTCCACACATTTGTCAACTGTACATATCATAATATCAAGCCATGAACTGTAACTGATTAATATCAGAACAGACCATATATTATTGTCCATCCTTTTCATTAAACATTATGTGTAAAAAGAAATTCAAAATTTTAAAATAAGTTTATGACAAATTTTCAAAAAATAAACAAAAGAACAAAATCCCTCATACTTGGCACTTAAAATCTCTAACATTTGAATTATTTTATAATGCTTACAGTGGGTGCTTTCCCATTCTCCTATCAGCTTCAGAAATACTCATTTTTATGAAATAAGTTTAAAATGTCAAAAAAGTCCTTCACACTTGTTTGTCAATTGTCACCCATTAATGTCAACAATGCTCAAACCATATATGTAGGATATTTAAGACTATTATCATAATTTCTTCATTGAATATAGAAAGTGAATAACTACTTCCAACAAAAACAACAAAGCTTTATTCTACAAGGTGAGGTCGGCTACATAGATCAAACGACGTCATTGCACCCTATCATGTTCCATATTTGCAGTGAGACCATTCATGCAAAGGTCCCTCTTGACAACTTCGTGCCAAGCCTTCTTAGGTCTACCTCTTCCTATAACCACATGTTTATTCACTATTTGATCAACCTTTCTCACCGGATGCTCTTTTGGTTTTCTCTCTACATATCCAAAACACCTAAGACGAGTTTCCATCATCTTTTCTACAATAGGTGTCACTCCAATTTTAGCTCTCTATATCTTCATTATTTATTCTATACATACGCGTATGGCCACTCATCCATCAAAGCGTCTTCATTTCGGCCACACTAATCTTGTGTTCAGTTCCACCCTTTGTTGCCCAACACTCTCTACCATACTATATAGCTAGTCTAATTGCAGTACGGTAAAATTTTCCCTTTAATTTTAAAGGTACTTTTTTGTCACATATAAAGCCTGAAGCACTCCGCTATTTTGACCAACCGACTTAAATCATGTGGTTAACATCATCCTCTATTTCTCCATTGTCTTGAATGATTCACCCAAGATATCTCTTTACTTTTGGTATAGTATTTTCTCCAAATGTTACTATTTCTCCTTCTGTTGCTAAACTTGAAAGCCATGTGTGCGACTTACACACAAGCCATACAACTCTGAAGCATGTCTTCACGAATCCAAACATGCATCGTGATATGATGATGCACCCATACAAATGATTTAATTGGCAAAAAGCATGCACCATGATACGAGTTCTTCAATATAACTAATTCCAAACAAATATAATATGAAAATAGACAACTAGAAGTGGGAAATACCATACTTTAAAATAACTTTCCACTTTATACATAGACTACTAGAAGTGGGAATTACCCCACTTTAAAATAAATTTCCACTTAAAAAATAGACAACTAGAAGTGGGAAATACCCTACTCTGTTCCAAAATAACTTTTCACTTTACCCATAACAAATTAACAACCTGCCTCAATGCCTCATAGATTTAAGAAGTGGGAACGAAACTTCTGAAAAATGAGGGAAAAAATCGTATGAGCAAGTCACTTTTTATTCCGGAGCAAATAAAAAATACTGGGTAGTTAACTTAATCAAATTCAAGCTAAAAACTTTATTTCTAACGCAATCTGAAAAAACTATGACCAAGTAAAGACCTGAGACCGCGCACTCAACATTTTCAAAAGAAAGATGGAAAGTTAAGAAATTTACCAATTTTGAGATCCCATTATTTTCATCCTGCATATGGGGCCAGAGCTTCTCAAATAACTGAGGGCTCCGATACAGTGATCCAGGCGGAGCCACCGCCGGACGAGCCCTGCCACCATTGAGGCCAAGAGTGCCCATATAGAACAACATTCCAGAAATATACAACAAAGGGGCGAAAAGTAACACCCCTCGCCGCCTGTGCACGGCGGAAACCAGAACAAATCCCAACTTCTCAGCAAAATTATGCAGCTTCAATTCTCCATTTACGCCACCGCGGAAGCTCCCCGCGCCGAATCCAACGGGGGAGTTCTTTCTCCGGAGGCGCGGCGAGGACGGCGGCAACGGTGTGTTGACCCCGCTGCCAAACCGGCTTAGCCCGCGCATGTGGGCTCAAGAAAGAAATTGTTTCTTACAGCTAGCAAAAGACTCTCTCCCCAATCTTTTTTTGTCTGCGCTCGCTCGCTCGCTCTGTGAACTGGAAGGCGATGGACTTGAGAAGACCGGAAGATTGGTGGGTGAGTGAGTGGGTTTGACTCCGCGTGAGGTCATTAATGCTTGCGAGATTCACGGATAACGAAAGGAGGCTTTCTGAGAGGTGGGGTCGTGGGTCGTGGATGCTTTACACATCACCCCTCCCCCCCCCCCCCAAAAAAACTTTCTTTTAAAAATGTATTCTATTTACAAACGGGTGAATCAGAAATACTCCCTTGTCTGTTACAGAGTATTTGTCCACTTTCATTTTTACACACCATCCAATACACTTCTTTAATCCATTTTATCTTTTAATTTGTATATTAAAAAATTATAGAAATTATATACTCCCTCCATTCTTAAAAACACTTCCTCTTTCATTTTTTCACTTCCAACAAAACACTTCCACTTTCTATTAAAAAACCACTTTTACCCTTACTTTTTCATACCCTACCTATCACATCATATTTTATCTCTAATAATCTATCTATCACATCTTACTTTTATCTATCACATCAAGAGCAAAATTGGAAGTCAACTACAATTTAATACTTCCTTATTTTTACACAAAGTCAAAAGAGGAACCCCTTTTCCAAATGGAGAGAGTATTAATAATCTATATGTTAAGACAAATCAAACAAGATTACACATGACTATATTTAGGCTTACACATTGAGAAAATTTGATGAGTCGAAGTGCTTAGATAAATAGTTCCAAAAGTCAAAACTGGACGAATACTCCGGGACGGAGGGAGTAATAATTATATATTCAAAAACTATATCAAAAATTCTAAAAAACGAAAGTTGTTAAGAATATTTGATTTTGAAAAAATTATCTTAAATAATCTCATATTTTCACAGTTTTTCAAAAATAATCTCATCTTTCAGTCATATGATATAATCTCACATTTCCATATGTATGCGAGTTTTGGACCGCCGTTAAAAAGCTAACGATTACTTAACAGAATTTTTGAAAAATGTCTATTTTTACAAATAAATGAAACGTGGTGATGGTGTAAATTAACCACCGGGTAAACAGTTCTAGACCGGGTCTAGGATTGTTTACTGGATTCGAGAAAGTAAAGTGCACGGGAGCTATTACACAAGGGGTTTTAGAGAGAAAAATTTGGATCCCTTCCTTTGAGAGTTATACATGTATTTATAGGAAAGGTAGGAAAGGTTGGGGACAGAGCGCCGCGCATCCACGTCGTCTCATGTTTTCTGATGGTGTGAGGTGGCTTCCCTCTTTTATCCTGTAACATTTAGTCATATTCTGTTGTAGTTTTGTATTTGTGACTCCTCTTTCGGCGCGTAGTGTCCAGCAAAGATTGAGGGAATATTTCCCCAATCGCTCGTTGAAAATCAGTCACTATCGTCCAAACGATCTTGAAGTTATTCATGCCGACACTTTTACACTGTAGAATCCTACCCGGTAGGTTTATCCTTTATGTTTCGAAAGATCGTGGATGCTTTAGGATTTGTTTGGTTTGTTGGAAGGAAGGAAAACGCACATCACCTCCACTACTCCTCATCTCTAATTTGATTACAAATTGGGAGCTACAAGTTAAAAACTTTCTATTTTGAAATTTATTTAATTTACAAACTGGTAGGTAATAAATAATAATTATATATTCAAAAACTACATCAAAAGTTTTATAAAAGAAGAAGTGACAGGAATATTTTATCTGGAAAATTTATCTTAAATAATCTCACCTTTCACGTTTTTTAAAAATAATCTCATTTTCTACTGTCACGTGAAATAATCTCTTCCACATGTGTGCGAGTTTTGGGCTGCCGTTAAAAAGCTAACGGTTATCTAACAAGATTTTTTTGAAAATGTTTGTTTTCACGAATAAATGAAACGTGAGATTATTTTAGGTGAATTTACATTTTTCTTTTTAAATTTTAATTTTAAAATTTTTGTTTTCAAAAATATAACAATACACTTTTGTTAGAGATTTTTGTCTCAACTTTTTTTTAAAAAAGTATAACGATTTACAAATTATTTTTTTATGTTTTGTGGGAAATATGATATTGAATTATCGAAAAAATTCAAAGTATCGCTCTATAAAAAAATGGTGAAATTGACAAGAATACTCCCAGAAATTACAGATTTTATATAAATACTCCCAAATTTATTTATTTACATCATTACTCCAACATTTTTCTTTTATTTACATCATTGCTCCCAAATTTGGTAGTAATTATTAGCGTTACTTGGATGCGTTTTTTTTTGCGTTAAGTGAGCAGTTAAAATGCAGACATGTATTTTTTTCACTCTAATATACAAAATTCATCTCAACTTATTCTCTCCATTGACTTTCTCACGTCTTAGTAAGCCTAATCATTGTCCTTATTTCCATCACTTTTTTAAAAAAATTCAGATTTCAAAGTTCTTAAAATTTTTTAATGTTTAATATCAAGTCTGTTCATATTAATTTAATTTAAATTCAATACAAAAAAGATGAAGAACCCCGTTTAAAAAGACGCACCCAATGAACACTGATTATGAAGCAATTGCGGAGTAATGACGTAAATAATAGACAAATGTGGGAGTAACTATATAAATAAACAAATTTGGGAGTATTTATGTAAAACCTGAAATTTCTGGGAGTATTGTTGTGAATTTTTCCTAAAAAAATTGCAATACAAAAAATTTGAGAGTTTTGGCCTGAGAAGGTACCTAGCCAAAAACCAATGCTCATAACCATCGCCTAATGCCGATAACCAAGGCCTAAAATCGAAAGTTATGGTTTTTGTACACTAATCATTTGGAAAATCTTTAAATGTTTCCAGCAGCAAAAAAAAGAAGATAAAAGTCAAAAACCATTTGGCTAAAAATCAATGCCAATATTCAATGCCGAAAATCGAATGCCATAACCGAACGCCGATAACCGATGGTTATGGTTATGGTTGGGAAGAAGCATGGGTTTAAGAAACTTAAAACCATTTATGAAAACACTCATTTGATGCATGAAAAATATATTTTGTTTTGATCCATGACTTAAAAAAATTGAATGAGCTTGTTACAATAAAAACCTAAGTATTTAGACAACATTTTCAAAACGCCAATGTTGTCGTCTTTAGAAGCGTCAATTCCTTTCTTGTGCTTTTTGTTCCTTCAAAGAGCTTTTTCTATGACTTTGAATTTTTTCATTTTTCCCCCCTACGCCTTTGAAAACAAGATTCCCCCTCACTTGTTGCATATACCCAAACACTTCCTCCTTTTTGGATTAGCAAAAAGCAATTTGATGTTTAATACAAAACATCATTGTTGTATGTTCCCCCTGAAACTGATACCATGTTTATAGCAAAAACAGTTCCCCCTAAACTCCCCCTAATGCAATTCATTAGGTTTCGTGCTTGGAGCATCCACTACAAAAATGTAGTCTTCAAACACACCTACATATGCATCTAAAAATAATTTTTAGGTACCCAAAAACTTTTGGGTGTTTGAGGGTTAGGCAAAGAATAATCACAGCTATAAAACAAATCTCATTTGTTTGGTAAAACAAATGGGTGCTATGTGCCCTATCTTAGAGCAATAATGGCAAATTACATTTGGATTATGCATATGTCTAAGTTGAGCCAAAAAATTTCTACGTTCTAAAGTCATTACTCCTAGAGTTATTAATTAAGTTCTTAGACTCATTTCTAGGTTGTCTCAAATTATTCCTATCATTTATTAAAATCTTAGAGTCATTTCTAGGTTATCTCAACTTATTATTTTTATTCTTTCTAAAATTAATTTTGTTATTCCTAAGATTATTTGTTCTTTTAGGTGGTCTATCATTCTTAACTTCTTCACCAAGTTTCTTAGGCTCCTCTACTTTAAGTTTTTCTATGGTGCTCTTAAGTTCTACATTCTCTATTTTTAAAGACTTACAAGAGGAACAAGTAGAACTTTGGTCAAAGGAAGAAGATTCATTCATTACCTTAATCTTATTTTTAAGGTCAAGATTATCATTTTCTAAAAATTTATTTTCTTCTTCCAAAGCATGAAGTTTAGCCTTAGCATCTTTTGCATGTTTTGAAGCTTTCTTGAATTCTCCAAATAGTTTTTAAAAGCTTCTTATAATTCTTCAAAAGAAGGAGAGTTAGAAGTACTTAGCTCTTCTTCCTCATTGGCCATGAGGCAAATATGGGTTGCTTCTTTTTCTCCTTGCAGAGTTTCGTATTTCCCACGAATGTCATCCCATAGATTCTTAGCCGTTGATATCCGGAGAACATTTGAAGTTAGTGTGCGTTAATTGCACAAAGTTGAAGGTTAAGTGTAACACCTCAATTCGTATAACCCGGAATTATAGGAATTTAAGTGAAACGGGAGAAATATTTTTAAAACTTTTCCAAATTATTAAAAACATAGAACAAAACTTCAAAATACAACATATTAAATTTGGATCGATCCTTTTACAAAATGTTGGAGATAACGGAAGACTTAAAATAATACGAATACAATGATATATGAGTTAGACTGCGTAGGGACCCCCTACCCTTCGGTGATCATCCCCACGTGGTAGATGAGCCGACGAACGCCTTAGTCTTCCCGAAGGAGCTAAAAAAATGTGGGTGGTAACTGAAAGCCTAGTTACCATGTACGTACACAAGCCCTCCTGATGAAACCCGTTAGATCTCGAAGGCTCCTGGACGGGCCCGCGGAAGAGGTGCACTTGGCCTGACCTCTTGTCGCAGTATGCAAAGTATGTCATGATCTTAAACATGCGTCTAGGATATATATACATGATGATATGAATGATATACTACCCTTTGATATGATATGAATGGTATGATCCCAAAGACTTATTTTGAAAGCTAAGTCTCGGTTTTTAATCCATATTTTAATTATTGATTCTTACCTTGAAGCACTTTGCTTTTGGATCTTTTCTAAATGTTCAGCAGCCCCTGGTAATCGGTTATCACTTGGTGATAATCGACTATCAAAGTTCCGCAGCCCTTGATAATCGATTATCACTTCGTGATTGACTTTGGGGAAAATTGGGAACGATATCTACCTTGACGGAGTTTGCTTATAATAATAGTTAGCAAGCGAGTTTTCAGATGACTCCGTATGAGGCATTGTACGGAAGGAGGTGTAGGACTTCTGTTTGTTGGACCGAGCTGAGCGAGACAAGGTTGGAAGGTCCCGAGCTAGTACGGGAAACCGAGGAGAATGTCAAGTTGGTACGAGACCGGTTGCAGGTGGCCTCGGACACACAGAAGACGTATGCAGACTTGAAGCGTTGGGAAATCTCCTTCGAGGTAGGGGATAAGGTTTTCCTCAAGGTATCATCTTAGAGGAAGATTCTTCGTTTTGGCAGGAGAGGGAAACTGAGTCCCCGTTTCATCAGACTCTATCCTATCACGGAAAGGGTGGGTCATGTTGCTTCTCAGTTAGAACTACCCCTCAAGTTGAGCAGAATCCATAATGTGTTCCATGTCTCTATGCTTCGTCGTTATCGATCTGATCCCACGCATCGACTAACCATGCTGTTGAAGAGGCTACGTCGGAGACAAAAGAGTCTATGAGAGTTCAGTACCTCATCTTTTCGGCAATGATGATTCAAGTAATTTCGATGACAAAATTCTTTTAAGGGGTGTGGAGAAATGTAACGCCCCGAAACTCAACTTAGTATTTTTAATTAACTTATATAATTAATTAATTACTGAATCGGTCAATACGAAGATTTATTTTCTAATTTGCATATCTAATGTGGGAGTTGACCTACGTTATAGGGCTCGCTGTTCCAAGATACGAATGCCGAATAAGGTAAATTGGGCTTAAATCTATCCTAACCGGTTACAAAGTGTAAATTGGTCCCTAAAGTTTAATCAAATTTATATTATGGAGTAAATAGGAGTGGGGGGTTACACTAGACTTACGTCTCTCTTCCTTTCCCGAGCGTTACATCCGTCTCCTCTCTGCTCTGCCTGCCCGTCGCCGTCTACCACCAGACGCGACGCCGCCAGGAGCTCAGCCAGGTCGTCGGCCGTCGTCTGACTTCCCTCTTCCCTGTCGCGCAGCTGCTCTGGCCGCACCAGAGAGTTTCAGCGGCAAACCCTTCTCCTCCAACTCGAATTTCAATTTCTTCTAATTTGAGGTGTGATTCGTTATCCAATCATCTACCGTTAGCGTTAATTCGTAGATTAGGATCTAATTTGTGTTAATCTTGTAAAATTGTGTGAATTGATTGTTGGGTTTATGGATTTGGGTGTTGAATTGGTTGTTGGTGGTGTTGGGGATGGATTTCCGGCCGATTCCCGGCGGGTCACAGCGGCGGACCGCCGGCGGTGATGGTGGACGGGTTGGACAGGTTTTACTTGGACCCAATTGGTCCAATTGGGTCAGTCTAGATCCAATTGGGTCAAATCGGGTTGGGTTAGCCTAATTGGGCCTGTTTTGGGTCACCCGGTGGGGCTGCCCGGTTCGGCAGTGGGCCGACGTCAGGTTGGGGGCTGCCTGGGTTATTGGCCGGCTGTCCGGGCTGTTGGGCCGGTTGCGTTGGGCCATTGGGCAGGCTGCGTTGGGCCGGTAGTGAGGGGCTGCCCGAACGGGCAGCGGGTTGGGGATGCCAGGTCGGTCCGGCACGTTGTCGGGCTAACCCGGTGGGAATTGATACTATTTCGGCGGGTGCAGCGGGCCTGAGGATAAATCCTTAGTCCCGAGTTCGCGACACACGTAAGTTATTTTAATAATGTTGGGTTAAATCTTGTTGTTTGAGCGTGACGGTAATCGGTGCGAAGTGATTCTCCCGATAGGCCGCTGAGTGTGTTGTTCTGTTTATGGAAATGTTAAGTGCTTGTTGTCACTTGAGAACTCTGTTGAAAATTGGCCACCTAGTATACCTAGGCAGATCTGAACTGAATTGGATAGTTTAATAACCAATAGGATTGTTGTTAGGTTCGGGCCTTGTGGAGCATGTTTGCATATCTAGTGGTCCAGGGTTCAAAACGTAGGAACGAGAGTCACTGTTCTACCTAAGGGATTCCTTGGTAGAGACTCCAACCCGCCCATTGAGGATTCTCTTTGGGTTTGTCCGAGCATCGGTCTCGAGGGATCCGCTCGAGTGTCCGTAACTCTAGTCTGTTGAATTTAGTCTTAGTGTTGTAGGGGCAAAAATAGCCCTTTGGGAATAAATGAATTGGAACTGTTGGATCCCTGTATTTGAAAATAAATGTTGATTGTTCATTGATGTTGCTGATTATATAAATGCGATACTATCTGCGAAGTTAATTCTAGCGATAGATATTTTCTCTCAAAGTTTTCAATAGTCTTATTGTCTTTGACTGCACGCGGGTAGGGATATGGATCATGAGGGCCAGCCTGGAAGACATTGATATGTGTCGTAGTGGATGACGTCACCATATTAATTATGAACATCTAATTATTGCGTTATTATTTATTTGATTTAAACATCCATTGTAGAACGTTATTTTGAGACTTCCGCACTTGATAGACTTTACTCTGACCTTTTCGTAATTAACTGGGTGTTTGGATGTTTTTGAATATTTTGCCTAAATTGTTGTGTATATCAATTTAATGGCAACCTGATTCGTTAACTCCTTGGTTCGGGTTACGCGAGTTGGGGTGTTACATTTTGGTATCTGAGAATGTGGTTTTAAAAACGATTCTTAGCCAAAATAATTCAACGTATATTTTCAAAAAAAAGTATAGTTAAATATATATTTTTCTTTCGTAAAAAAATGTTGTACATTTTTAAAAAAATGTTGTACACTTGCATAAAAAAAATGTTGTGCGCTTTTGAAAAAAATGTTGTACATTTCCAAAAAAAGGGTCATCCATAGCTTTGCGATGTTACTAGTCCGGGAGGTAACTCTGAATCCTTATTATGTATTTTTGTCAAATTGTGGTTTTGTTTGTTAACTAACATGTGGTTCCACTACAGGAATATGTAAGATTTGCGACGGACAAATTCCCTCGCAGATTTGTGAATTCCGTAGCAAATTTAGAATTTGCAACGGATCTGCAACAGACTTTGTCCGTCGCAAAAAACTTGTCGCTAGGCCAAATTCTGTGATGAAAGTTTGTGTCCGTCGCAAATCTGCGACAGAGTCTGCGATGAAAAAATGTGGCAAAATTTAGCAAAAAATCTGCGAGGGAATATAAATCCGTTGCAGATCTGCGACGAAAATAAAAGTCCGTAGCAGATTTCTCAAAAATAAAAAAAATGTCGCCTTACATCACTCATTTCTCATAAAAAATGATCTCTACAAGGCTGTTGAGCTTCAACGCTCCCTCCAATCTCAAGATCAAATGAGGGAAATTAATGCTCAAAAAAGGGCTCTATAACCTAAAACCAACCCTAAGTCATTCAACCATCAGGTCCCGGTTCTAAAAGATTCACCTAGTTCAACACCATCACACAAATCTGAGAGCATAACAATCCTCGCTAGTGCTACTGTGGTGATGTTACCCGAATATCCTCCAAGCCAAGTCCCAACCAGCGAAGTCGTACATGCAGTGAAAACAGAGGGTGGTTAGGTGATTGATAGTAAGAAAGCGGGCCATAGTAACTACTGGAGTTATCCATAGTAGATATTATGGGTGGTTGGTGAAAAAGAAGTGAGAAAATCGTTCTAACAAATTAGACTAATACTGTGCCACTCCCCGGCAACGGTGCCATTTGATCATCACTATTTTTCGGGTAGTAAACCTTCCAATAAAGGGTTAGTGTTCTCTCCGAGTGTCGTGTTTCTCGAGTAGTGGACGAAGGGAATTAGCTAATAACTCCAACTAGGCGAAGGTTAGGATATGTTTATGAAAGTCTTCTCGAAACAATTATAAAGAGAGCAGAGGAATAATAAATAAATTTCACATACTATAAGTTTAGATCTAGACCTAGGGTCAGGACATCATTTGGATCTACTTTATCATTTTTAATTAATAATTAGAATAATAATATTTCTATTATTACTTACCTATTTCTAGAATTTGTAATTACTCTGGTTGACTTGAATATGACATCTTTATGGCGTATAATATTTTATCAATAAATAGCTAATTAAACTCTTCGATATTAATTAACTAAATAAGGCAAGAACAATTCAGAATAATCATTTCAATATTAAATAAATATTCAAAGTATAGAACCGAACTAGTCCGGACCTAGAGGTCTGGACCCTAACTCATACTATGCAAGATAATTAAAATAGCATTGTATTAAATTAAGAAAACTTACAACTTTCGTAAAAGCGGAAAAGGACATATCTGGAGTAGAAATTCTCCGAAAAATACTTCAAAACTACTACTACTACTACTGCACTAATCTAGAAACTACAATGGAGAGGGGAATGTTGGTTATGTGTGCATCAATTGTCCGTGGCGGAGGCTATGTGGGCCAAGTTACAATCGAACGTCGTGGGCGCTTGTGTGCTGAATGCACTATAAGGCTAGGGTATGCGCATCTTCTAACACCAATTGGTTTTAGAAGAGTTGGTAGCGCCTGAGGTCCTACAAATGGTATCAAAGCCAAGATCACGAGTTCAATTCCCAGCGGGAGCAATTGTTGAGGGGGAGATTGTTGGTCATGTGTGCAGCAATTGTCTCGTGGCGGAGGCTATGTGGGCCAAGTCACAATCGAACGTCGTGGGCACTTGTGTGCTGAATGCACTATAAGGCTAGGGTATGCGCATCTTCTAACACCAATTGGTTTTAGAAAAGTTGGTAGCGCCTGAAGTCCTACAGGGAAGTGTGAATCCCGAAGTTGGGATGGAATTGGATGCATGAAATGGAGGAATCCCGCTGTTTATATAAGGGAGGAGCCAATGCATCAAAATCAAAGCGTCCATGGCCAAGCGTCCAGATCTGGATGCCAAAGTTGTTCCGGCCAACCAGCTCTTGCCACGTGTCATTCTTGGGCTGCAATTAAGTCCAAGCGTGAAGCGTCCAACTTGGCCAAGCATCCAAGTTGGACGCCTTAGACCTCTAGTTCGTTGGGCTTGGTGGCTAAATTTTGCCCAATTTCACTTCTTTTTGGCCCCAAACACTGTTTTTGACCTCCCGGAAGCTCATTCAAGCCCGAACCTTAATCCCTTGATGATTCTTACTCCTTTTCTCGAGTAGTTGAACATAAAATGATCGATTTATGATGATTTCATGTGCAATCCCCTTTTATGACTCTTAGAATGAAAATGAGAGTTTTATTCATTGAAAACACGTTTTATGAGATGATTAAATACTATTTACGTGCAATAACATTTAGAATATGATGTAAATGATAAGATCAAAAACGGACTTATCATTTGTTGAGGTTGGTGTTGTCCACACACATCCTCCACGTGTCCCCTTTAAGGGCCATGACAATATTTGATAGCCATTCATGGTAATTAACTTCCCTAATGTAACCCACTCCAAGTAGGTCCTTGACCTCCTTCACAAAGTTCCTCCTCTCGCTTGCTAGAAACTTTTTCTTTTGTCTCACCGGGTGAAACCCATCAAAAATCGACAACCGATATCGTATCACTGATTGGTCTATCTTCGGCATGTCTGCCACACTCCAAGCAAATAAAGAGTTATACTTGATAAGTACCTGGACAATCTCATTCCTTTGATTATCAGACAAACCCATTCCGATTATGACTACCTTTTTGGGAAAAGGTGGGTCAATCTTAATCTCCTCTGTGTTTGAGTCTAAATCAATCCTTGCCTTCTCATATCCCCTGTCTACCTGCTGAGAGACAACTTTGATTTGCTCAAAACGTCAGGTCATCTTCTTGACGACTTCCAGATAACAAGACCGTGTATTTTTCTGATCTCCCCTCTCCTCTCCATTATCGTTGGGCATGTGTAACTTCATGCACATGTGTGTCATGGAAATGATGGCTCTGACTTGGTTGATCCCAGCCTTCCTAGAATTGCATTATGCATGTACTTGATATTGACCACCACAAATCTCATTTGTTTGGTCACCACCATGTCTCCTGGCCATAGCTCCATGAGGGGTATTATCTGCCTTTCAACTTCGATTGATGCTCAAGTGAAGCGTGACAAAGGTGTTCGTAATGATATCAGGTTGGACCGGTCAAGCTTCAATTTCTTGAAGGTGTCCAAGTATAAAACGTTGACACTCCTTCTTGTGTCAACCAGAACTCTCACCGCGTTCATGCAGTTGATTTCCATCGTAATGACCAGGGGGTCATTGTAACACCCCAACCCGCTTGACCCGAATACAAGACCAGCGGATCGGGTTGCTACTAAATTGGCAGTCATACACATTAATTTTCAAAACAATTTTAAAACATTTAATTCAAAACAATATTTAAATATCCATCAGAGTAAATCAAAACGGTGCGGAAGCCTTTAAGTACTTAATCAAAATACAACTTTGGGTACTTGTCCTTAACAACATAATTAATTCAAACTTAAATATTAAATAATAAACTCCTCTAGCTAGCATCCATCCATCTCTTCGCCCTCGCTGCCTCAAAGACTGTCTCATTATTCATCGTTCCTGTTACCTACGTGTAGCAAATAGGAAAAAGGGCTACACGCTCAGCATTGAAGCTGAGTGGAATCTATCTAACGTTCAACTACGCATATAGACGAACCCACTAGCTCATAACTCCATACAATATCATGCACACAAGTATACAATATAATAGAAAATAACAGTCACTAAATAAATTCTTAAGTCACAAATCATTACCTTATTTCCTCTTTATTCATACCTCATAACACAATTACCAGACTAAGTCCATACACCATACCTCCATATTTACAACCTTATGTTCAGACTTAGAGTCACTACCTACAGCCATGACTCAAGTCTACCTTATCTAATACCTTATGACACAACACAACCTGATGACCAACGAAGGAGTTCTCCGCTGGGTGGGTGGTACCCCTGTCCCCTTCGGAACGACAGTTCCTGGATCTCGTACGTACGTTTTCACCCACAGTCGTCGGATATCAGATCCGCAGGGCTGATCCTATCTATTGACATTCATACTTACAATTGTACTAAGGCAGTCCTAGAGTTCCCCTAGGTAGCATAATCATTTATTTATAACACCTCTATAGTTCAGACTTATTCCAACATCAATCTCAGTTCCTTGTGTACTTTTAAAATGCCACATGATTATATTTAATTATAACAGAAAGGTTACAAATATCAGGTAATCAATCAAGCAACTCATTTAGCGGCCTAGTGTCAGGTGTAAACACCTTCCACTTACCGTCATGCAACACACAAAACATCTGGAACAATCTGGAATTTGAATCAGAACAAACAGATGAAGAATCGATCGAACAGTCTGTCGGTCCGGTACCCCTTACGGTACCTCGGTACCGCCGGGCGGTACCTTGGTACCGTCGGGCGGTACCTTGGTACCGTCGGTCCGGTACCCCCGTACCGTGCGGGCGCAGGTAGCGGCAGTGGCAACCTTCAGTGGCGGTAGCACGGTACCGCTAGGCGGTACCTAGCTACCGTCTGACGTCGGGAAGTCGCCGGAACGACAGATTTCGATCCAATTCCAAACCATACAATATGTACAACGTTTTTAAAGATTATTATCATGCAAACCTACACAATTTAGAGTAAGAATACATACCTGGTCATCCTCCTTCAATCAATTCCAATATTATCATAAGATATAAATAAATCACAATTCAATTATAAACAAACAAACCACGTAATCAATCATACGAAACTACGAACGTGAATTTCAAATCTATATACATAATCTAGCGTTAGATGTGCAAGTTCTGACCTCAATTAATTAGCGGATTAAAACAATTCAAAACTCAACAGTGAGGAAGATGGTGATCGGCAATAGCGAAGCAGCGGCGTCCAGATTCTAGGCAATCCGGACGGCGGCCTGAGCGATGGCAGCGGCTGACCTCTCCCGGTCGAGCGACCACAGCGGCAGTGGTCGTCTTTGTTGAGCTCTGTTCCGATCGCAGGGTACTGACTTCGTCTCTCACGCGGCAGCAACCCAAAACTCTGTATAGTTTTTTCTTCAATTGTGCGTGCGTGTGTATATATATAAAGGGGATGGGTTTGGGGATAATTCCTATTCCATATACGGGTAGGTTTAGGAATTATATTATTTTATTATTATAAATTCTTATATTTACTTATTGAACTGTAGTGTCTATTTTACTTACCACGCTTTATACCTAAGTCCAAATTTAACAAATTATATGCTGTTGGTCACCATTTCTCGAGATCTATTCGAAAACCCAATTTTCATTTAAAACGAATAACTTCACAATTAATTCATGTTTTTGAGTAAATAAATTTAATATTTATTTTTAATAAAATAACGGCTAACTACTAAGCCGGTTTTCAGGGCGTTACATTTCTCTCCCCCTTAAAAGGAATTTCGTCCCTGAAATTCTTCTAAGGTAAAGAGAGAACTTTATAAAGGCATTTCAATTTAATTTCAACAATTTGTGTACCTTTTCTTTGTAAAAGAAATCATGTTAATCTTTGATCAAATGTCTTTCTGATTCATTTGTTTTGATTTGAAATCACTATGTTGTTTTCCTCTAAGTAGTTAAAACGACAATCAAACATATTTTTTTGTGTGAAAAGTCAATTGTCACTTTAAAGTTTAGTAATTCAGCTCAAGATTGATTGGTCAAATTTGACTACAATTTTTTTTGAAGTCGCCTACGCGTTTGCTTCAACACATGACGCATTAATATTATTTCCTTTTTTTTAATAACATGATCACACTAGTCGTCATGGATAATTACGATTTTTCATATAACCAACATTTTTGTTTAAACTTCTACAACGTATATTATTTCAACTTTCTCTTGCTTATGTTTTTTTTCCTTTACACGTGATTTTTTTTATTTATATAGGTAAATCATAGATTAATTAACACTAAATCAACTATCAAGGCAACAATTTTTACATAAGTACATAATAAAGATTTAGATTTACCTCCTGGAGCAGAAGAGTTGCGAGAGACGCGGATGCTGCTGCTGAAGTACCTTGCAACCAAATAAACATTTTTTTTAAACATTTTTTTTTTGAATTTTTTTTGAAAGAGTCCGAAGACCGGGTTTAAAACCAATTGCTCTGATACCAAAATGTAACACCCCAACCCGCGTGACCCGAATACAAGGACCAGCGGATCGGGTTGCTACTAAATTGGCAGTCATACGCATTAATTTTCAAAACAATTTAAAAACATTTAATTCAAAACAATATTTAAATATCCATAAGAGTAAATCAAAACGGTGCGGAAGCCTTTAAGTACTTAATCAAAATACAACTTTGGGTTCTTGCCCTTAACAACATAATTAATTCAAAATTAAATATTAAATAATAAACTCCTCCAGCTAGCATCCATCCATCTCTTTGCCCTCGCTGCCTCCAAGACTGTCTCATTATTCATCGTTCCTGTTACCTACATGTAGCTAATAGGAAAAAGGGCTACACGCTCAGCATTGAAGCTGAGTGGAATCTATCTAACGTTCAACTACGCATTTAGACGAACCCACTAGCTCATAACTCCATACAATAACATGCACACAAGTATACAATATAATAGAAAATAACAGTCACCAAATAAATTCTTAAGTCACAAATCATTACCTTATTTCCTCTTTATTCATACCTCATAACACAATTACCAGACTAAGTCCATACACCATACCTCCATATTTACAACCTTATGTTCGGACTTAGAGTCACTACCTACAGCCATGACTCAAGTCTACCTTATCTAATACCTTATGACACAACACAACCTGATGACCAACGAAGGAGTTCTCCGCTGGGTGGGTGGTACCCCTGTCCCCTCCGGAACGACAGTTCCTGGATCCCGTACGTACGTTTTCACACGCAGCCGTCGGATATCAGATCCGCAGGGCTGATCCTATCTATTGACATTCATACTTACAATTGTACTAAGGCAGTCCTAGAGTTCCCCTAGGTAGCATAATCATTTATTTATAACACCTCTATAGTTCAGACTTATTCCAACATCAATCTCAGTTCCTTGTGTACTTTTAAAACGCCACATGATTATATTTAATTATATTTAATTATAACAGAAAGGTTACAAATATCAGGTAATCAATCAAGCAACTCATTTAGCGGCCTAGTGTCAGGGGTAAACACCTTCCACTTACTGTCATGCAACACACAAAACATCTAGAACAATCTGGAATTTGAATCAGAACAAACAGATGAAGAATCGATCGAACAGTCTGTCGGTCCGGTACCCCTTACGGTACCTCGGTACCGCCGGGCGGTACCTTGGTACCGTCGGTCCGGTACCCCCGTACCGTGCGGGCGCAGGTACCGGCAGTGGCAACCTTCAGTGGCGGTAGCACGGTACCGCTAGGCGGTACCTAGCTACCATCTGACGTCGGGAAGTCGCTGGAACGACAGATTTCGATCCAATTCCAAACCATACAATATGTACAACGTTTTTAAAGATTATTATCATGCAAACCTACACAATTTAGAGTAAGAATACATACCTGGTCATCCTCGTTCAATCAATTCCAATATTATCATAAAATATAAATAAATCACAATTCAATTATAAACAAACAAACCACGTAATCAATCATACGAAACTACGAACGTGAATTTCAAATCTATATACATAATCTAGCGTTAGATGTGCAAGTTCTGACCTCAATTAATTAGCGGATTAAAACAATTCAAAACTCAACAGTGAGGAAGATGGTGATCGGCAATAGCGAAGCAGCGGCGTCCAGATTCTAGGCAATCCGGACGGCGGCCTGAGCGATGGCAGCGGCTGACCTCTCCCGGTCGAGCGACCACAGCGGCAGTGGTCGTCTTTGTTGAGCTCTGTTCCGATCGCAGGGTACTGACTTCGTCTCTCACGCGGCAGCAACCCAAAACTCCGTATAGTTTTTTCTTCAATTGTGCGTGCGTGTGTATATATATAAAGGGGATGGGTTTATTAATTGTTCCTTCAGTTTTATTCCTCGATCGTCTAATTTTTGTGCTCACTCTCTAGCTGCTGCTGCCTATGGGCAAACTTCTATTATGTGTTGGGATTCTTCCCCTCCTGACTTTGTATCTCTTCAAATTTAATACACTTTGCTTGCTTTCAAAAAAAAAAATATAAAGGGGATGGGTTTGGGGGATAATTCCTATTCCATATACGGGTAGGTTTAGGAATTATATTATTTTATTATTATAAATTCTTATATTTACTTATTGAACTGTAGTGTCTATTTTACTTACCACGCTTTATACCTAAGTCCAAATTTAACAAATTATATGCTGTTGGTCACCATTTCTCGAGATCTATTCGAAAACCCAATTTTCATTTAAAACGAATAACTTCACAATTAATTCATGTTTTTGAGTAAATAAATTTAATATTTATTTTTAATAAAATAACGGCTAACTACTAAGCCGGTTTTCGGGGCGTTACAGTCATTGTGATCCCCTCTAGTCCTAGGCAAGTCCTTATCACTGAAAGCGGTGGGCTCCCTTTTCACCTCTTTGACGTGTGGTTCTATTGAGACCATCGTCACGCGAAAGTTCCTAGCCAAGTTTTTCCACTGAGAGGCCGTATCTCCGCCTTTAGGCCCCCCATTATCATCCTGATGAATTCCTTCCCATCATTGTCACCTCTTTTCTTCTTCGCCTAGTCTTTCTCCTTTGGACGGGTCCGGGTGTTTTCCTTCGGGTCCTTCTCAGCCCCTTAAAGAATTCATCCCCGAGCTCACTCTTTAGAGCCATCGCCTTGAGCATGGTCTTAACGTTCATGTAATCAGCTGTGTTGTGGGAGTCTAACTGGTGATATGTGCACCACTTTTCTGTCCAGGGCCTTTTTGCTTGGTCCCCCTTTCGCTCATCCCAGATTTGGTGCACCGTCCTGTCATAATTAGCCCTAAGCTTGGAGACCTTGGCTGGCCTTTTTTTACCTTATAATGCTCGGTCTTGGCGTAACCCTCCTCCAACTCTCGTTTCCTTTTGTTTAAGTTTTCCGCCTCTCCGTATTCCCAAGCAGTGTTGTAAACTTCCTGATAGGAAGAGGGTGGCCTCCTGCAGAACTCGGTGTAGAGCTCTCCTGCCCGAAAAGCATTCATCAAGAGTGACATGACTGTTTTATCATCCATCTCCTCTACTTTGTCAACCTCCTCCCTCCAGCGAGTGAGGAATTGTGTCAAGGACTCTTTCTCCCGCTGCCCTACCGTGTTAAGGTAAATGAACTTCTTCCTTTTCATGCAGTTTTCCTAGTGTTTCTTGTGGAAAATTTCCGCCAGCCCTTCAAAAGAACCGATCTTTCCATGGGGGGAGATTATTGAACCACTCTACTGGCCTTCCTCGTAGGGATGAGAAAAATAGGAGGCACTCCTCGGCATCAGTACATTTTCCATTTGTGCGGCATTGTGGAAGGTATCTAGATGGATGGATGCCTAGGTCTTCTTTCCCTGTGAATCTCTCCACGTCAAGCTTAACCTTCCGTCTCAGCCTATGGGCATGGGCCCATGAGGAGAAAGGACATTTTGCTAGGGTTTGTTTCTTCCTTCAACTCTTTTCTCCACCTTGTCGTCCAAGGCTTACAACTTTCTCACCATGCTTCCGATCTTATCAAAATCTCCCTCCTGATCTTTGTACAAGAGTCAGGTGTATGCTGACTACCAGGGTTGACTCTCGGCTTCCTCCTCATCCAGGTGGATTGTCTCCGTGTCCTTTGAGCATCTTGATGGAGCAGGCTCTCCATCCCTTCCCCCGCTAAGTTGATCAAAGGCACTAGCTCGGGCCATCTCAAAATCGAGATGTAGCTTGGCCGACTTGCGAGTCAATTCTCCTTATCTCAAAGACGTTTGAATGCCGAATCCCGAGTCTTGCTCGGTTTGGCAATGGCCTTCCCCTTCCTCCTGCATGGTTCCTTTGGATCCGCAACATTGCGGCCCCAAGGAGTGTCCGGCATATTTGAAGTTCCAACCCTGTCTATAGCCGTAGTCGAATTCGAAGGATGCACAGAATTGACCATCCTTGGCTTGAAGGTTGACGGCCTTTTCCATGTGTGTGTGTATGTATATATGTATATATGTTTGACCTCCCTATATATATATGTGTGTGTGTGTGTATGTGTATATATATATGTGTATATATATATATATATATATGTATATATATATAGATTTTGGTTCTGGTGAGAATGCAATCTTAGGAGAGAAATGAGAATAAATCTGGTGCTTTAGATTGTGAGATCTAAGTGTCAAGATTTCATCAAAATTAGATGCACCAAAATGGTGCGAAAATGCATCACGTTGAAATTCATCATAAACCTTTGAAAATGCACTATCTCAAAATCTGAGCGCAGGATGCAATCTGAGCTGCACGATGCATCAGATCCGACGGCTAGATTTTATTCTCATTTCTCTCCACAAGGTGCATTCTCACGGGAACCGACCCCTATATATATATATATATATATATATATAGGTTCAAGTGAGAATGCGATCTTATGAAAGAAATAAGAATGAATCTGGTGCTTTAGATTGTGAGATCTAAGGGTCAAGATTACATCAAAATTAGGTGACCCAAAATGGGTTAAAAATGCATCATGTCAAAATGCATCAAAATCCTTTGAAAATGCACTATCTCAAAATCTGAGTGCAGGATGCAATCTGAGCCGCACGATGCATCCGATCTAAAGGCTAGATTTTATTCTTATTTCTTTCACCAAGGTGCATTCTCACCTGATCCAGCCCCTATATATATATATATATATATATATATATATATATATATATATATATATATATATATATATGCATGTGTGTATGTATATATGTATATATGTTTTATTCCATACATTTTTTTTAAATCAAAGTTACGAAATACATACATGCAACCTAATCAAAGTCATGGATCACGTACTGGACCTTATTACATCTATACAACATGTCCAATGAATTAAATAAATAATATATGGACTCTTTTAATTAATTGCCTCACCTCTTCTTCCACCATGATGGAAGTGGAGGAATGTTCTGCTCGTTCCTGAAGAAGTTGGAGGCGTCCACACTGGTCTTAACATGCACTAACCTATCAAAATTATTCTTGAAATATTTGATCCCCCATATGCTTGCTTGTAAATAACTAGTGTTTCCTTCACCATTCATTCCTATGTCAAGGTCTTTATAGTTTATGTACGCCTCTCTTGGGAGCTTGGAAACAAATAGACCCATGAAAGCATATAACCTTCTTATCCAACTTATGTGCCTTACTCAAGCTTCACTCCCCTTTTCATTCCAATACACCAAATGTTGGATTTTGTATAAATTCCCAGCTCTATGAGGGAACGGAATTGATGAGTTAGAGATCTCGCCCATTCTTACACCATATGGACTCATGATCATCTGGGCTAGTGTTGCGTCGTCGTCTTCGAAGAATTTCCATATCCCATCTAGTCCTTTCATGGGGATTGGTTTCTTCACGTAATCCAATTTTGCTTTGAAGTGTTGTACCGGAGAGAGCGGTGTTCTTCTAAGCAAAATGTCACTCGATCGGTGAACCATTTGGGAACCCTGCAAAGTACAAAACGGATTGGATCCAACTCATTTCGGTGCAGTCTTCCTCCGTTAAGCCCAATTCGGGGAACCTTTCGTGCATGATGGGAAGCAATTGGTCAACTCCGCCGAGATAGATAGAGTTGAAGGAAGCTTGAGTTGTTGTTTGGTTTTGCGTTGATGTATTTACTCTTGTTATCTGGACACTAATAAACAACTCCTTGGGGAACTTTGAAGCGACCGATTGCCCGCCATTTGTGGACGAGACTCATGGCGTTTGGCTTCCGGGTCTCTTTGATTGTGAAAACTGTGACGCTTGGGGGCACATCCACCAATTGAACCTTCCATGCAAGAACTACTCCAAAAGTATTGCCCCCACCACCTCTAATAGCCCAAAAAAGGTCTTCCACCATCAATTTCCTATCAAGAATTCTCCCGTGTGCATCAACCAAAGGCGCATCAATAATTTGATCCACCGCGAGACCATATTTTCTCAGCATCACACCGTAGCCTCCTCCGCTAAAATGTCCTCCCACTCCGACAGTAGGACAAGAACCCGCAGGAAAACCGAGGGTTGGACTCTTCTCCGAAATCTTATAATACAACTCGCCAATGGTTGATCCAGCTCCTACCCAAGCGGTCTTTTCCACCGAATAAACCGTGACGTTTCTCATGTTGAATAGATCAAGAGTGAGGAAGGGATTTCCGAAATCTGTGGTGTAAGACAGCCCTTCATAGTCATGGCCCCCACCTCGGATTCGAACTTGGATGTCGTGTTCCTTGGCACAACGTATGACCAATTGCACCTCGGATTCTTCCCGCGAGGTGACTCTATGACGCGAGGTCGTGGCGTGCTCGTCGTGTTGAACCTCAGGTAGGTTTTGGATCGACAACTGCAAAATCGGCAAATCGGCAAGTACGAGGAGCTGTTGGTAGTGTACACGTCATTGGAAATGGAATTATGGTACTCATCATGGGAGATTCTATTGAGACATTCGACGAAGTCTTCCTGGGTGCGGCCATAATTGGCCAAGAGCATGACAACAGAATAAGTAATGAGAGTAGAAGCCAAACGAATGGCGTCTTTGCCATATTTATTTTCATCAATTCGGTCATTTGAAAATTGCATGAAAGAGTTGGGGAAATTTGGTTTGCAATTTGCATGGAAGAGTTTGGGAAAAGCTACCATACCATGCATATTTATAATTACCTGTAGCCCGTAGGATTGATTTGATGACCTGAAATGTCAAATTATACATTGCTAATTTACCCACTAAAATAGAGTAATTTTCAATACTATATATAGTACCCGAGTACTACTATTCAATATCCACGAGACATTATTTGAATAAATGACCACTGCCTCATTAAACATATATAGTTCAAAGTAAATGTCCATTGTCATTGAATATTATTCAAGTACCAGTTAGGAAATAAAAAATTTTAGGTATTACTTTAAGAAAAGATATACTCCATACTATATTTTAGTACACTATATATAAACGTGCGTGCATGGAGGCATGAAATATCATATTGCATTGTATGCATTTGTTGTGACAATGTATACATAATTGCGAGCATGAATTTGAATTCGACCCTGGAACATTCTGCCGTGTCCGTGTGTATGTATTTCAATTCTTGTGCTGCAAAATTTGAAGCAGGTTTAAGTAAAATTTATTCAATGTACGAGTAATACATAGCATGTTTCCCTAGATACGATCTGTTATGTTTTCCCTGAAAGTAATATCTAATTAATTAATTAAGAGAAATTTACCTAAATAGGACCAAAACATAATGACTTTCCCAACATAGGACCATATGTTTTTATTTCTCAATGTATGACTTTTGGTCATTATCAAGTAGTCATTATTCAAGTAAATGTCCATCATTACTGGACATTATTCCCCCCACAAAGTCATTATTAAGTCTTATTTAGAGAATAAAAAAGTTAAAAGTCTACATTAGGAAAGTCATTATGTTTTAGTCCTATTTAGTGCAAATTTCACATTAATTGATACTACTATCTATTCACTATTTTATCATCATATATTAAATATGGCCAAATAGCCTCAATCTTTTATGTGGTTTAAAAAATAGGCATTAATACTCCACTATTTTTCAAAACTTTTTTCTAAAATCTTTGTGGTTTCAAAATGTTATCCACATTCCATCTTTTTCATTTTCTGGCCACTTTTCCGGTGAAGAAGGGGGCATTGGGGCCTATTTTCCAAATCATGGGGGATATTGGTGCTCATTTCTTATTTTTTTTATTTTTATTTTTTCCTTTTTGTTTCCTTTATTAATCAATTTTTTTAAAATTTTTTTATAGTGTTCTTAAAATTTTAAATTACTTTTGTTTGAAAAAAAATTAAAATATACTACATCTATACGTCTTAAATTAAAAATTTTTATTTTTTGTTTTCTAAAATAGAAAATTAAAAATTTGTTTTGAGACCTTCAAAACATTAGGAATAAAAAAATAAATAAAATAAAATAAAATAAAAAATGAATATCCTTGTTGGCACCCAAATTCTAAGGACTTTTTTAGGCATTTTGAAATTTTTTTTATAAGATCTTTTTTAATTAGGCGATTCAATTTTTCCATTTCATTTTTTCATATTTTTTTTGATTTTCTTTTTGAACTTACCAAAAGGATTATTCCAGAAAACAAAAACTTAAAATGTTTAATTTAAGATAAATGGAGTATAAGTTAATCTTTTATTTTTATTTCAAACACAAAAAATTTTAATTTTTTTAAAAAATTATAAAAAAAACTTAAAAGAAATTTAAAAAACTTTTTCAGAAAAGAGAAACAAAGAGTAAAATAAGGAGAAAAACAAAGTAATAAACGAAAAATAAGAAATAAGCATGTGTGACCCTATGATTTAGAAAATATGCACCAATCCACCGTATTTGCTAGAAAATGATTGGAAAATGATCAGTGTAGTGTAGGTGCAACATTTGAAATTACGAGAACTTTAGAAATAAGTATAAAAAAGAGAAGGGATATTGGTGCAAATTTTTCAAACCAGAGAGACACTTGAGCTATTTGGCTATTAAATATAGTACGAGTATATGACTAATGACTTAATTAACATGTACTACCTCCGTCCCAGAGTAATTGTCCACTTTCATTTTTACACACCATCCAATACACTTCTTTAATCCATTTTATCTTGTAATTTGTATATTAAAAAATTATAGAAATTATATATTAATAATCTATATGTTAAGACAAATCAAACAAGATCACACATGACTATATTTAGGCTTACACATTGAGAAAATTTGATGAGTCAAAATGTTTAGATGAAAAGAAATCACCCTACATAGCACTCTAACTCACCCAAAAATACGCATTTAGCACTACCCATTGTTTTTTACAAACTTAGCTATTTATGGTGTCAAACCCTTCCTATCATACCCTTTATCCCTTTTTATTTTTTTCATTAAAATTAGGTTACTGAAGGAGTCCAATTACCGTACTCGTGCGCCTCCACCTACGCGGGTCTCCTTCGTCTACGTCTTCACTCCATTACCAGCGATTCCTTCGCCGATTAGCAGCGGCGATCATCATCACCACATCTCTCTAAGCAATGGATAAATCAGGTTCTCTCCCATGCTTCCTTCTTCGATTTACCTGTATTTTTTTGGTTTTAATTGTTGTTTTTTCTTTTTACGTAATGGGCGAAGGCGAATCCACTACCCCGGCTTTTGCTTTGTACCATATTCGGCTTTTTCTTTGACACCATTAATTGTTGTTTTAATAAAATTATGCTAAACATAACAGCAATAATGCCTTTCACTTATTTCGATTTCACACTGCCAGTGTTTATTGAATTGTAGTTGGCAGTGTGATGTTTAGGTGTTGTGAAATCATTTTTGAAATACTAAGTATTTGGCCCTTTTAAAAATTTAGATGTTTTGAAAGGCATTGCAAACATGGCAGTGAGGGACTACACTAGTTGGATGTAAGGCTCACATGGTGTAGTTGTTATTTTTCTCTTGATGTTGATGTTTCTACTATAAGAACTGCTTGTTGGCCCTATTACGCTTTGATATACTCTTTGAGTTAATATATTTGCACTTTGTTATAAAAAAAAACTATTATAAAGCATAAATTTTAGATTGTTTTGACTAATATGATTGTTTTTGGAAGACAAAATATGTCCAACAACTAGACTCTTTTATGGGATGCAGGGGAAAGAGCACCTGTGCATTTGAACTTTTCCCCTCATTGTAAAAATTTGGATATGCCATCATGGTATACAAGTACACACTTGATTAGGTGTTATGGTGTCGGCAGTGTGAAGATTAAATGTTTAAATTTTGTCTTACATTTTTATTTGTATGTATTTCCTATTTTCTTCGTATTGAATGTCTTAATTATGTCTAAGTAGTTAGCATAATTTTATAAAAAAATAAAGCTGCTTCATTGAACATTAATGAAGTAAAGTTGGAAGTGTGTTGTGCGATGTATTTGTTTAATATTCTGAAGTTCGCAATGTGACTAAAACGCCTATCATGTATATATATACGATGTGTTTTTGTACTCACCAGCTCCATTAAATCCAACATTTATACGTCTATTCTTTGAGTTCATTCCTTTATTTAATTTACTTGAATATTTTCTATTTAATTATTTAAAAGGAGCATCAGAGATGAGTCCAAATTTGACGATATTGCTACGTGTATATATTGTGGCAGTGTATTATATTAAAAGGAGCATCAGAGATGGGACATGGGATACTCATGGAAGTTTTATATTATGACAGTGTAGATATATTGTGGCAGTGAAGATATATTGTGACATTGTATTTCAGACATTGAATTTTTGACAGTGCATATATTGTGGCAGTGTATTTCAGACATTGAATTTTTGGAAGTACATATCGTGGCTAACATTGTGGCAATGTATATATTGTGGCAGTGTAGATATATTGTGACAGTGTATATATTGTGGCAGTGTACGCATATATTGTGGCAGTGTATTATATTATATCTATTCTATTAATCTCTGAGTAGTTTTTATCTAATTTTACAACACGTTATCAGCACGAATTTGCTAAAAAATTTCAGAATCCTTGGTCTTCTCAGAAGGTATATTTATTTAATTTTCTTCATAAACAAACTAAAATATTTTTTTAGAAACTATGAGAAGTATGCTCTGTGAATGCCCGAATTGTGGCAGTGTAGATATATTGTGACAATGTATATATTGTGGCATTGTATTTCAGACATTGAATTTTTGACAGTGCATATATTGTGGCAATGTATTTCAGACATTGAATTTTTGGAAGTACATATTGTGGCTAACATTATTGAAGTGTAGATATATTGTGGCAGTGTAGATATATTGTGGCAGTGTATATATTGTGGCGGTGTATTGGGCATGCCAACGTCTTTCAACACTTTTTGGCAGTGTCCTATGACCAAGTTTCGCTAGTCTCTTTTTGTCAAAATTGATCTATATAGAAAAATCTCACTATCATATATTTTTCATTGAGTTCCATATAAAGTGGATATGCAGTGTAAGCGTAAAGTTTTTTTTGAAGTGTGAAATGGTCGTGATCTGCGTATAACTTTTGGCAATGTATTTTGTCCAATATATTTGGTCAGTGTGCTATGAAATGTTGCAATGTATGCTCCATACAAACTCTTTAAAGTGACAACATATTTCAATGTATGCTCCAAATAAAGCCAAATCAATGATAAGCACTTGTATAAAACTCTCCACTAATCCACTTCTCAAATCACTTATAAATTAAACACCCATAAATTATTACTAAAAAAACTGTCATGAATAACACCGAAAATTTTAAGCAAAAACACCAAACAACTGTCATACGAAGATTAAATTATCCTACATAACAGAGAAAAATCTATTGCTTCCTGGATTCTGCCTTTCTTTCATAGTTATAAGCTAAAAGTTCTGTTGTCATTTTAACCCAGTAAGTTTCCATGTCACATGATTGCACTTCTTGTATGTCTAAATCCATCATTAGAAACTCCACGAATTTCACCACAAACATACCATCATTATAAATAACTGATGCTAATACATATTTTTTTTTAATTTTTTTAATGAATAGCAATTACTACCCCCGTCTCGCTATATTCGTCCACTTTTGACTTTTGGAACAGTTCATCTAAGCACTTTGACTCATCAAATTCTCTCAATGTGTAAGCCTAAATATAGTCATCTTTGATCTTGTTTGATTTGTCTTAACATATAGATTATTAATATATAATTTCTATAATTTTTTAATATACAAATTACAAGATAAAATGGATTAAAGAAGTGTATTGGGTAGTGTGTAAAAATGAAAGTGGACAAATGCTCTGAGACGGAGGGAGTACATCACATTTTCAATATAAATGATTCCTTTAATCTTTTGCATCGGTTGTTTGAATAGGCAATACAATTGAGTCAGTCTATGTGCCTTTTTTTGTAGTAGTGATTGCTTAACCAATTTTTGAAGACAAAGATGAAGAAGACACTTGATTGCCTCCCAAAGCAAATGATCAAAAAAAAATAAGGTGGAGCAAAGTTTGTATATCGAGAACGAAGAAGAAGATGATGTACGTTGTAGGGTGGTGGTGGTCATCAATGAGAAGGTCATAATGTGCGGCACTGACTCAGGAGGTCTTGCGACTGGAAAGAGAGGTGGTCAGGTGGGTAATGGATGGGAAGGGGGTAGAGAAAAGACGACTGGTAGAAAAATTAGGGATTGGGGATTACTCCCTCCGTCCTAGAATATTCAACCAACTTTGACTTTTAGAACTGTTCATCTAAGGGAGAAATACGAATATAGCACTTTAATAGGTTTATAATACGTAAAATAGCAGTCCTATAAGTTTTTGAGATGAATTCCCAATATTGCCCTTAATTAAACAAATTTGTATTATACTCAATTAGGTTAAAAAATAGTAATTGGCCTCTGACCTCACGGCATTTGAACGCAGCACAGCTTCACGACCTTGAACGCGGCAGTGCTTCACGCAAGATTACCGCAAAACACACGGCCTTGAAGGCAGCAGTTTCGAGAAGGGAGATGCAGTGCTAGGGTTTCAATGGCAAACGATGATGCGCTAGACGTGATTCCTCTAAGCAAACGAATGGAGAAGATACAGGTATGCTTCGTTTTGGCAGTGAATTCGTTACTTTGGCATAGTTGTAAGGTTGGTAGTACTTTGGCATACTAGTTATTTTATCGGCAATACATATGTTTAATTTGGTAGTGAATTGGTAGCTTCGGCATTAGGTTTGGCTTGTTTTTGGTTTCACAATAGTCATGGCGCACCATTTAGGGTTTGTGTTATGTACTGTGTAATTGTTTGGCAAAAAAATGGTGAAGAACCACCGCCAATGAATTCAATAGGGGTGCCTTGACCAATTCTAGAGAAGAACATCATTGCCTAGACTGTGAAAAAGCACTGGAATGAATTTTTTGTGGTTTTAGCAAAGATTTTTTTCCTTAGGCAGTGTGGTTTTTTGTTTTTAAAGCTTGGCAGTGTGTTTTTTTGAAACATAATGATTTTTTTGGGGGGTTTTTTAAAACCGTTTAGGTTTTTTTGTGAATGTTGGACGTAATTTTTTTTTGGGGTTTTTTGTTTCTCGGCAGTGTGTGTTTGGGGTTTTTTGTTCTCCACTAAAACATAATTATTATTTTTTTTTGAGTTTTTGTTTCTTGGCTGTGTGTTTTTTTGAGTTTTTTTTACTTGAGGCAGTGAGTTTTTTGGTGAATGTTGGCAGTGGGTTTAAGTTGTTGTTGGCAGCGTGTTTTTTGTGAATTGTGGCAGTGGGTTTAAAGAAGAATATGTGGTAGTTAAGTATTATGATTTAGTTAGAGTGATTTTATCTTTGTTGAATATGTAAATAGTACCTAATGTTTTTTGACTTTGAAATATGTATACATATGCAGGTGTAATTATGGTATGTTTGTGGTGAAATTCGTGGAGTTTCTTATCCAAAAGAGTATAACCCATGTAGAGTAAACCAAGTACTAACCCCCTAAATCATATTAATGGTGTGAAGATCCTAACTTAAAGTGAAAAATAAAGCCAAGTAATACCTTATCCAATCAAAAAAGCTGATCGAGTACTAAACTCCCAACAACAGAATGTACGATATGGAAAAGGACTGGAATTTTATTAAAACCAGGGATAAATTTCATGACATACGCTTTAAGCATCAAAAGCAAAGCTTAAAAAAGAAACCCCTTAGTGTCATCCTAATCACAGGTCCATGTGTATAGATAAACCCATTCTACCCTCCCTTTACAAGCCTTAAAATACATGTTAATTCTAAATAACTAGAACCCAAATGCCTGCACAAAAACAATCCCTGCCAGGGAACATGATAAAGTTGTTCCAGTCCTGCGCATGTAAATGACATAATTAGAGGAATTAGACACTGTCCTCCATAAGTCCTCCAACAAAAGTTGATTCTCGAGCTTACTAGTATAATCTATTAGCCTCAACAAAAGTTGATAATGTGCTAGTGGAAGCATAGGCTTTGTTACTTCTTAGTGGTTTAATTGTATTAGAAGATTTTTGTTTTGTCTCAACTACAAAACCCGACCCAGTTCTATTAGCTAAAAATAATAAGAAAGAAATAAAAAAACTCAAATATGACCAAGCTATAAACAAGATATAAAGGTCTCATTTTAAATGAATTTTAGATGTCTTACTTCTTATTCAATAATCTCACATTGAGAACTTCACCCAGAGTCTTTACAAAGGACTTGACGTGTACACGATTTTTTATACTTTGGACAATGATTTTAAATTATACGATGTTTAAAGTGCGATGGTAAATATCTATTATGTAGTAGTGTACCTCTAATTTATTATCATCTAAGTAGAAATGTAACATACATGGTTTATTCATTTATATTTTTATTTTTTAGGTTATAACATTGTTTGAAATGGATAAGAGTTGGATTAATATGAATAGAACATCAACACAACATATAGGTAGTGTTCAAGCGTTCCTCGATTTTGCTTTTGCAAATTCTCCACAATCGTTGTTAAATTGGGCGTAATCGCTATTTTAATAGAGATGCAGTGTCACAATGCCTCATGTTTAATGGGTTTTGGCCTAACCAATTTCGACAATACGTGCATCAACACCGCATAATCCAAGCCACACTAACACTTGCAATAATGAAAACTTTGTTGGTAATGTGTACACTAATGCATTGTTTAGTGATATTTTAAGGATATGCAATCAAGGGAATTATAAAAAGAGACACGATACTAACTCTTGTGATCATCCTGATATGGATCCTTTGTTTGGGATAGATGGTGAGCAGTTTATGGTAAATGATGACTTTATTGATGAACTTAACTATGAATGAAGATGAGAACTTTGAAGAAGTTGGGTACACAAATCTAGTTGAGCAAGCCCATCAAGAGTTATATCGGGGATCAAGTTATTCAAGGTTATCTTTCATGTTACATTTGTTCCATCTGAAATGCATGCATGGTTTGTCCATTACATCATTCATCAAGTTGCTTGAACTTTTAGGGGTTGTCTTCCCAAGTATTACACCATTTCCAACATCTTGGACCCAATGTAAGAAGTTAATGAGAGATTTAGGCCTTCATTATGAAAAGATCCATGCTTGTCTGAATGATTGTATTCTTTATTGGAATGGAAGGGA